TCAATTATTTCTTTCCCCCTGAACGAGACATAACGAGGTAAATACTTGAGTCTGTTTGCACTCACTCTGCAATATTGTGTGAAGAAAAACGTTGAATTATGCACAAGTTGTTTTTTGCTTTTTGGATTCTTTGAATTTAGTAATTCAGTGGTGGGGATGGAAGCAGAACAACCAACAGAGGTAAAACCACACAGTCAGACTCCCCCTTGCATTGACTGTACTAAAACCATATTTCTGTATCTGTAGAATCAACGACAATCATTTCTTCCAGTTTTGTGTCTGTCGCCTTTTAAAAACATCATCAACACATCCACTCATTTGCTGTGAATTTTCTGAAAACTTTCCTGGAGGGAAATGTCTGGAGCAACTGACTCGCAATACTTTTATTTGCCTTCTCAACTACAGCTCCTCTGCACAATTTCAGGAGACTACTGTGCATGTCTGAAAGCAGCATAAAGAGATAGTTAACCAAAAAGGAACTCATCATTATGTCAGTTTAGGGGTGGGTGTTTGAGTCTGCAAAACACTTTGGGGGTCTATGGGGTAAACAGTGTTGCAGCCAAATCCAATACCATTGAAGTTGTTTTGTGGACTTCAACCACCCCCCCCAGCAGCAAAGTGCTGAGTAGATAATGAGTGCATTTATAACATGAAGTGTGTTGCTGTAGAAAGTGTGTGTCAGTGTTTTATTGTGATGTACAAAAGCCTGCATTATATTTGTGTGATCATCATAAATATTAACAGAGAATGAAACTGTCCACATGTGTCAGATGATGTTAAACAGCTGCTCATTCAAGAAAATCATCAGACCTTTAAATACCAGCTGACGTAAGGACATTACAATGACATCACATGAAAGAATTAGGCTTGAGCTTGATTTATTCAGTGTGTGCAGTGTGTGCAGTGTGTCAGTATGTTGATTCTATTTAATTGTAAGTGTAGTGCAAGTCAGCCAGGTCTTCTTACTGACCATAGCTGGCACACGTTGTTGAGATCCCTGCTGAGATCAATACATCAGAGCCAGGAGCACCTGTCAGAATGCATTGTCTGTTTGTGTGTGTGCGGTTTGTGTGTGTGCGTGCGGTTGTGTGTGTGTGTGTGTGTGTTTATAACAGCGTGTGACAGTCATTAGACTTCAGTCCGACCTCCTGCTCCTACCCCCTGGAAAAGAAACAACATGAGATCACATGAATCAACTGCTGCACATAACAGTAGAAGACAACACACATACACACACAGAAACAGAGACACACACACAGAGCAGGAGTGTGCGTGTGAGTGATGCTGGCCAGAGGCACAGCCGACAGTCTGACACCTCTGATGACATGAATGGGAAGCCCACCTGACAACAGCCTCCCTTTTTCTGCCCAACGGCGAGCAGATAATAAATCCAAGGCCAATGTCAATTCTACGCTGAGGGATGACCATAGGCACACACACACATGTGCATACCTCTCTGACACACACTACAACACATATGATATATGTGCAGGGAAGTAGGCTGCATTGGAACAAATAAACCGACCTACATCTTGGCTTTCACATATGGTGCATCATCTCACATGTTAATACTCTATGCACAGTGAATGGGAAAGTGTGTACGTATACACACACACCCATACACACCCACACACACACCCACACACACCCATACACTACCACATATACATACACATTTTCCCTGAAGGAAAGTATGACCTTATCCCCGCATATGAGCAAAGAATGCCTTGGTATACTATAGGTCACAGAGATTATATACTGTATCACACAGAATGCATGCAGAAGGAACATGCACAAAGCTTGAGCCTGAGCACATTCACAGCAAAGTGAGATTTTTTTTTACTCAATCTGAAAAGTGGGGATAAAAAAGACAGATTAAGACACAAGCCCGCTACAGAAAAATCTATCGCAGTCTTGATTTGATTCGTTGAGCCTCGTTTATCCAGGGTGCTGCTCAACTAGCAAAAAAGCTTCCCTTAAAGTAGCCTCAAATTTACACAGTAAACACAATCTCACACAAGAGCTGCTCAATACAACTTCAATCTTTTAGTTTGGTCCCAGGAGCAGGTTGGAGATTAAGTGCCTTGCTCAGGGTTTAAGGCAAGGAGCTCCTGAATCACTTCCTAGGCCAGTTTTATTCTGAGGGTCCAGGTTTGAATCAAAAAAGTAGGGCTTTTCTAGTCTTTTCTAAAGGATACGTAGGCATGTGGAGGGGAAGACTGGGTTGAACTGCTGACCCTCTGGTAAGAGGACAACCCGCTCTACCCCCTGATAGCCCTTCAATTACTCTTTTTTTTTGAATTTAGCAAAGTAGGAGAGCTGTTGGATTCTACTCCAACACAAATTAGAAATATACAGATATGTACATTTTGGTTTAAATAGATTAGAATTTGCAGGTTGACAACAAAAGACAAAACACATTTACTGTTTGGTGCTTTACATCCTTTTCTGGCTCATCTGTATTTATAATTTTCATACATTTTATACATTTACCATTCAATGAGGTTCAAAAGCAGGGGGCGGTTGGCCAATACAGTGGGTTAAAAAGTTTTCAAGGAGAAATATGTGAAAAAACACAGGCTTAAAAATATCTCTACTGTGTCTAAAAGTAGCAGTGACGTCACTTAAGTAATGCAAACAAGAGTGAGACTGAGAATTATCAGGAGTAATTGGACATCTTTATTTGTTTAAAACAATCACCAGTATGCAGGAAAGTCATTTTCATTAGGTATTTTTCTGTCCTGTTAAGTTATATGCCTCTTTCTAAACAAGCTTTTTCTCCTTGTGTATGGGCCACTTGTTTAAAACCGATATCTCCATTTGGAAGGAAATGAAACTCTAAATTCGACAATAAATAAATTCCAGACAACAAAACACCTCTCATATTATTCTGTTGCAGCCTTATGTTGATTGAAACGAGCAATGAATGAGTGGATGGAAAACATTTTATGATATAAATGTGAGCTGAATGGGGACTTATGAAAATCAGCATTCATTTAAAATTCAGACATATTCTCGCCTCCTGTGATTGATTCAACATCTTTCCAAAAGTGCTGACATGCACGTGGGCGTGATTGACAGGACAGGGAGATGCCCTCACCCCAAGAGGTCTTCTGACTGGTATGAACAATGAACCTCGGGTTATTTTTGAGTGAGTGGATCATTCAGTCTATCTGTCATGAGGAGAAAATGTCAAATTCTTGGCAGTTATAGAGCTTAAACACCTTGTTTATGACTGGACAGGAAATGTCCTAATAATTATCTGTTTTTCTAATAAATAGAATCAAGACTATGTTTGAATGAGAACTCCAGTAAGATCTGTACATACACACTACAGCACAACCAGCGTTTCAATGTGCCAAACCACCAACTTACACATGACACGGACAAGACATCAGCCTATTAAATAGACTGCTCAGGCATGGTACAGGGGGATTCATCACAATGCCCGCAGCTTAAATGACCTCATGGCCATTACAAATGTACTCCTGAGTGATGACTGCAGGCATCCTTTGAGTCGCTCATTACAATGTGCATTCCTCCTCAATATAATTAAAATCAAACAGTTTGTGAAGCAGCTTCAGCCTTTCAACACTGAAACCTTGACCTTTAACAATGGCACCTCCGTTGGTGTAAATTTAGATGCTCCAGGACACTGCCACAATGCATCATCCTGCTATGTTTAAGCAAAATTGGATAAGAGGTGTCTGATATATCAGGTTTGAGGCAAATGTTTTGATCCTTAATTGTTGCGTTCTGCAATGATTATTTCTGGGCTTGGATACATTTGGAGAATAAAAGGATAAACTCTGAGTGACTAAGGTAAACAGCAGTTTCTATTTTTGTTTCAATTAGTATCAGCATATTGTACATTAAAGTAGAAATGTTATGCTCATGCTCAGGTTATTACTTGATCTAAAGTTAAAAAACACGTGACAAATGTGGGGTGACATCACAATGCCCGGGAAGTATCGGCTGGACCCTTCAGGACCAGTGTTATCTGTCAGGGGGGAAGACTTCGGGCTTTTTAACGTTTGAGACATTTTTACATATACAAAAAAAAAAAAGATTGAATGAGGAGAATTAGCTCTGCAAATTTTAATTTGTTTCCCTTCTCTTATCAGGGGAAATTGGTTTTACTACTAATATAACTTGATATGCTATGGTGCATCAACACTGCATACTGATACATCCCTTTAGAAACATAATTATCTCAATCATCAGTCCCTCTGAATGGTGTCCTCACTCAAACTATTTGCCCGTCTATTTGTCAGGAAACAAAAGGTTTCCTTAAGGTTTGACAGGAAATCCAATTGGTCAAGATGATGAGTCAGATCCCTCAGTGTTAGCGAGGCTAATAGTGACTCACAATACCTGTTTATTAAAGCAACATGTCACTGTCAAGACGTACAGCATGAGGAGACACTATGAGGTCTGCTTAATTACCAATTGCCATAGTTTAATCAGAATGTCATATATCACGTGTACAGACACAATGGCAGCGCTCACACAAGTTTCTTGGAGACGTTTATTACTGCAGCTCCACCATCATCCCATCTACTTACTTGGACTCGCAGTGTGGCCTCTGGCAGATTGAACAATTCACAAAAGCATGGGGCCATTTCAAAACTCCATGAGTCTACATCTCATCAGTCAGAGGGTGCCCGTATTCACTCATCTTATTTGTCCCTAGACAAAGATTTTCAAGCGACACCACTGCACAAATCATGGGTTATGTTCTCTAACCTCCCTGTGGTTTAACTGTATAATGAATGCGTCTCTTTATTTAGGCTCATGCATTTTTAATTGAGTGCTTACCTTCAAATTACACTTTTTCAGTAAGATAGTGTGTTTTATTTAGTGCCTTTGTCTTAGACCTCGTCTATGTGCTGTTGAAAGCTGTGGTAATCAAAGAGATCCAGAGCTGGCACAGGCGACAAAGAATGTTACACTACATTTCTGTCACAGCCTTTGATGAGTGATGTTTAGTTCATATACAGAAGGCAGTAAAGTATGTGCTTTTATATTTAGTGCTGTACTGAATGTTAGTCTTTCTGCCATCTCAAGAGATTTTTCATCTATATATACCCACATAAATGTAGTTGTGACACATGGTGGCCATTCATGGGTTGTAGTCTGAGGAACAAGTATTGGTTGGATGAATCGATTTCTGCTCTGCTGCCTCTCTATAAACACGCAGAATATGCCATTCAGGACGAAGTGAATTAAAAACAGGGGAGGCGTTTATTTTAAGCAGTGTTATTTATAGTCGCGGACGTTTGACTTGTTTGAAGTGAAATGCTCAGCAGCGCATACAAAGAAACTGAGGTACTATTGAACTTGATGAATAGAAGACACATGAAAAGCTGAAGCGTGTGTGTGGAAAATGGTGAGGGGCGGAGCTCTGAATCGGAAGTGGGGGCAGCGTTGCACGTGTGTGTTTGCCTCAAGGGTTTTGATCTCTCTGCCTCACTGAACAGAAAAGAGTCCATCAGCAACAGATACCCCTTCAATTATTCAGGAGGTTAGCATAAAAAATAAATGGCTGTTTCCTGCAGGGAGAGGTGTGGTGCCGTTCTGGTCTCTGAATCTCTCCTTAGGCTGGGCAATTGATTCCATTCAGCGATGATTGTAACTACTGGGTATTTTTCTTTTTAAGTCTCCAATGAATCCTAACACCTATTATTGATCTCACACCAACACCAAGTGCTTGATCAAATCATAAATGTGTAGTGTTCCTGGGTTTAATAGGCCTTTCGAAGAGTGCAGATAAAGAGGCACATACGTTTTTTGGTCTTTCGCTGCACAGAGAAAAGGCTGTGGGTTTCAACCTGACAGACAGGTTGCATGTTCTCCCTGTCTCTATTGGTTTTCTCTGGGTTCTTCAACTTCCTCCCACATGCAGGTATTGTTAAATTGGCAGTTCATGTGAGCTAAAAGTGATTTTTGTCTTTATATGTTGCTCCTACGATTGTTGTCGACCTGTCCAGGGTGTCTCGCCCCAAAATTGGCTGGAATTGGCTCCAGAAACCTGGTGACGCTCAAAGGATAAGCAGTGTAGCAAATTTATTGATTGTTGGAAGTTGTCCAGTGAACAAAACAGCAGAGAAATCAAGATGAATGTTTGGGTCTGTTGAGTTGAGTTTGATGTCTGTTCATCTTTAAATTGACGGCCAGAAATGTTTTCCACAAATACCGTTGCCTTCTATGTTGTACTGTAAAAGTTTGTGGAGTGTAAATCTAGACATTATGTGGCTGTAAAAGGTTTTAGCTCTTTCCTATGACAGCATGGATCTATGAGGGTCATTCTTTGAACAATACAGGGTTGTCACACAGTCAGCCGGCTCACTTCCATGATTCGACTGGAAGCAAGCCAGTTGTCCCTGATGTCACGTCACTTTGTTCTTGGTGATATTCATTTGGCACTAGCTGACTTTTCGTTTTTTGTCTGCCGTCAGGGGTTCTTACTTTGCCATTCTTCTCCTGTCTGACGAATTTGTGCCTTTCTTTGTGCTGCTGAGTCATTTTTCTCTTCGCGACAATTGGCCGGAAGGAAAGAAAGGCTGGGAAAAATTACCCTGAAAAGTATCTAATGTTAGCTCCTTCTCTGCTTCTCTCTCTTCCAGGTGGCCCTTCACGTTGGTCCTCACCTCCATGTGACTGCTGCTGCAAGAACCACAAGGGTGACGGCGAAGGCGAGAGTGGCACCTCCTTTAACGAGCTGTCCACCTCCAGCTCTGAGAGCCAGTCAGAGGCCAGCTCTCCCCAGGGAACAGTCATCTGTGGGCCGGTCAGCCGCCAGCCTCACCCCCATGCCAACGTCCAAACCCTTGACAGGCCACTAAAAAAGGGCCCCGTTGCCATGCTCCAGCAGTCCGACCAGCGCCGTAAGAGTGACTTGCTGCGCACACTAACGGCAAGCTCCCGCGACACGAGCACGTGCAAGAAAAGGCCGGTGAAAGAGAAGCTGACAGTTGAGGAGGAGCTGGAAAAGTGCATTCAAGACTTCCGCAAGATCAAGATCCCAGAGAGGTTCCCCGAGAGGAAGTACATGTGGCAGGCCGATCTGCTAAGAAAGTACCGCCTCTGAGCCAGGAACCAGTAGAGAGCGAGCAGCAGCACGAGGCCAAGGATCCGTTTACATGTTTTTTGATCTCGACTTTTGCAACAAAAGGGAGACAATAAACTCAACTCATTTGAAACCGCGTTCTGAGGGAAATTCCACAGATTTGTCAGGAGGTTAAAACGAAAGAAGCTAGAATTAAGCATAAAAAACAGAGATTCCTATTGACGTATGTATGTATGTGTGTGTATGTAGTTTAGGCACTCTGTATGTACTGTAAGTGTGCGCTGTACTTTGCTGAATGCTTCAGAGCTTTGAATAATTTATCACTGAGGACCAATCACAGAGGGCAAAAGACATTCTTTATGAACCCATCAATGAACAGAAGGCTTGCAAATGGCCACACAAGAAATTACAGAGGATTTCTGGACTGCACGTACTGTCGTCTGTCATCGTTTCACCAAAAACTATCACAGGAACCACAGTTTTAGTCCATGGATACAAACACTGGTTTAGTATGTGAATGTGTGTTTGTGTGTATGAGTGTGTTTGCACCCAGGTGGCCTAGAGGTCACGGATAAATCTGCATCAGGACCCATTAATAATGCATGCTGTCCCGACAGTGCTCTCACTATAAATACACTCAGAGGTCTTTGCTGCCAGGGGAGCGTAAACAGCTGGGTCAATTACTTTACTTTTTTGGCAACATCTGTGGACCTCCAAGGCAGGAGGAGGTGCCATTTCATCAGCGCCGCAATTAATTTCCTGCTCACAATATCATTTATATTGCTTCACGCACCCCAAGTGAGTCAAATTGCTGCGTACTGCATTGATTTTTTTTGCTGCGTTGGCAAGATGAAGAGCAATACCCAGGTTAATGTGTGAAGGGTAAGTGAAAGAGTCGAGGATTTGATTTGATGGTCGAACCACGGGGAAATACACAGGTTTAATAAAGAAAAGCCCTGATTCAACACACCTGTACACACACTCATTGGTTTATATCACAGGCTTTTAACCCTTTTTACATCGCCGACACGAAAAGAGCACTGACAAACACTCATCCCCACACACAGTGATCGATCGTGAGGTCATTTACACCATGCTCAATATGACACCTGCAGTAAATACAGACTGAATGGGGCAGGATTGCTTCATTTGCTAAACCAGTCAGGACAGACTGATGCATCCTGGGCCGACTGGTGACATGCTAATCAATAATTATTGATGACAGGGTCTGCGTGATAGAGCCGATAGCCGCTGCTCTTGTTTACAGTTATGAATGAAGCCCCTAAGTTACTGACGAGGACAAGCTGTTCATGTATTCAGCGAAAATTAGCCATTATTCATTTACATTTAGTGTTCATTTACGTCCTCCCGGCTCTGCCAGAATCATTAGGAAGTGGTGTATCGTGGTAACAGAAACAAACACTACGGACAGCGATTTTCAAAAGAGCACAGTTTTAATTTCCTGGTAGATTGATTGTTATTTATTTAAGGATCTTGTGGTAACATATATTCTGGCAGAGGGATTTAAAAATAATTGCACACTGCAAATTAAATAATTGAAGATAGTAAATGACAAAAGCACATAGACATCAGCTGCTGATGGAATCTCGTCATTTCTCTTTGGACTAACGATGGTAGAGTTTATATCACAATCTCTGTTTTAGGAGAAAGCACATAGGCTATGAAATTACTTTTTCAACAGTAACAACAACCAGGGGAACAAAATGTGTTACTAGATTCAAGTTCAAGATGTTAATTTCTTTTATTGGTACACAAAAAAAATCTGATGTTTTTGTAATTAAGACCATCTGTGTGGGTCAGCAATTAAAAGGCACGCTGTTACAAGTACTGTAGAAGGCTTTCAAACACTCATCACGTCCAATGTGTGACAGCAAGTTTCTAGGAGAGGAAATAGCTGAAGTAGATAACTGCTAATCAAATGCTTGCATGTGTTCGTTAATCACAGCTTCAGGTAACATCCAAGGTATTTATAAATGTGTGATAGCAAAGCTATGATGAAAAAATGTGGTTTGCGAGTTATTGTGTTTGAAATATTATGACCTGGATAGTATAGATGATTTAAAAAAGCAGAAAGGAAAATGTAAATTGGAGAATTTGATTTAAATTCTCTTGTAAAAGCAGATT